AGATTAGAGAAAAATGTGAATTTGACGGGTTGTTTTCTAATAATAAGAATTCCTAAAAGATATTAGCCTATTCCAAAAATTCACAATTCAATTAGATGCGAAATCTAAAAACCTCCCCTTCGTACTTGTAGAATAAGAGTTTTTTGTTGAAATCCTTTTTTCATTTTAAGGAATTGCTTAGTTGTCCAGAAACAAGTACTGGCAGTAAAGAATATTCGAGAGAACAGCGAAAAAATAATTGTAATAATCAATATTCGGAATGTCTGTATTCTTGTTCTTGTATTCGATGCAAAAGGTTTTTCTTGATACTTAATTAAATTACAAAGAGGTTTTTTTATATGGAAAGAAAAAATGTAAAACCTAGAAAAGAATAATAGAAATTCCTAATCTTAGAAACTAATTGGACCAAAACAAAAACAAAATAAAGATTTGATTTTTTTCGAGTGATCCAACGGTGCGATATTTTTTTTTCTTCTTATTCGAGATATTATGTGAATAAATCTACTAAGAAATCTAATAAGTTAAAATTAAAAAAAAAAATGGATTCGATACAAATAAATAACAAATAAATAAACTAAAAGAAGTAATCAACATAGAAATGATTTTCCAATTTTATTCCGTAGCGATTTCCGTAGTGATTTGATTCAAAGAAAGTTTCTTTGAATGAAGTTATACAACACAGTTCTTCTAATATATTAGTATTTTAATATTTATTTAATATTTCAATTTAGTTTGTTCTTTTATTTCTCAAGAGTTGTCCAATGAATCTTTTGATTCGGAGATAGAATAGGTAGATGTTTTAGATGATGAGTTGATTTATTTTTCTACTTATATCGCTCTATTTTTGCTAGTGCTGTCTATAATCTATAATGATAATGATTGATAAATGATTAATAAATAAAAAACTTTCAATTGGTATTTTTGCTTATCTTCGTATCTTTCAAAAATTGAATTTAGGAAAATGCTTTCCAAATATATGGATAAAAAAAATAGTTTATTTAGTTCCTTCATGCCCACTATAACTAGTTATTTCGGTTTTCTGTTAGTAGCTTTAACTATAACTTTAGTTCTATTTATTAGTCTGAGCAAGATACGACTTATTTGAAATTAATTGAATGAACAATTCATAAAAAAAAAAGAAATTTTTTTTTGCAGTATTCCATCTATTTTCTAATTCCTTACCGTGTCAATTTCCAATTCTTGGTTATTGAGATTTATGGGCAATATGGATTAATATTTAAGGATAGATATTACCTCCCTTTTTCTCTTTTCAAACAAATTGAAATGATTGAAGTTTTTCTATTTGGAATCGTCTTAGGTCTAATTCCTATTACCTTGGCTGGATTATTCGTAACTGCTTATTTACAATACAGACGTGGTGACCAGTTGGATCTTTGATTAATGAATACCCTTTTTTTGTTACCTCCTCCTTTTTTTAATCCACAGGAGGTCAAATTAAGATTGCTGTTCAAGTTTTTCCCTAAAATTTTTGACTTAACAAAACAAGAATGGAATCACGCCCTGTAGGATTTGAACCTACGACATTGGGTTTTGGAGACCCATGTTCTACCGAACTGAACTAAGAGCGCTTTTTTATTACAAAAAAGAAAGCTGTAAGTAAAAAGATTCTTTTTTTATTTTACTCCACTACATCTTGAATGACTATACTATCTCATATATAAACTATATTATATATAAATATAATAAATAATAATATGATATAAATAATATCATATTAATTTATAATTTATGATTAGGTATGTCTAATTTTAATTGATCTCAATTGATCTCTTGTTATTGTATTGCTCAGAGGCGAAGTAATAGGTAGGGATGACAGGATTTGAACCCGTGACATTTTGTACCCAAAACAAACGCGCTACCAAGCTGCGCTACATCCCTTTCAATTGGTCTACAATGTCATTGTAGAGAATCCCTGTCTTGTTTTCCACATACTTATTTCATTTCATTTTCTCCATTGAGATACACAACTTATCTTGCCATTTCTTCTTTTTTTTTTTTTTGGTCTCATATCATATAACATATAATAATAAACTTATATACATATGAAAAAAAAATATGAAACCTGCCGTAAATTTCGTGAATGCCCGGACGGAAAGGGACGTGTTTTCTTCTTTTAAAAAAAGAAAAGGAAAATCTTATCTATTAAATCATTGTACATTTCTCAATTTGAATTAGGAATTCCGCGTACAAAACAAATGCGAGTGTCCTTTAATTTAACTACATATATACATCTGATCATATATGTATTGCCGTTATGTATTACAATAATGAATACAGAAGGAGGATTTTTTATGCGAGATCTAAAAACATATCTATCCGTAGCGCCAGTAATAAGTACTCTATGGTTCGGGTCTTTAGCAGGTCTATTGATAGAGATCAATCGTTTTTTCCCGGATGCTTTGACATTCCCTTTTTTTCATTCTAGTTATTAACACGGGGGGTGAAGAAAATTAGAGATACAATTAAATATCTCTGACTACTACCCCCCTCTTTTTTTCTTATTCGAATAAGTTAGAAAAGAGAAAGAATAAAAGTGGATTCAAACTCAGTGAAACTCGGAACTGGGGTCAAGCTTCAAGTAAATTTACTTTTTAATTTACTTTAATTAAATTAAGAGAACAGAAGTGGAAATGCGGTTAAGGCAACAGTATCATACAAGAAGTTTAAATAAAATAGAAAGACTGTACTTCTATTCTAATCTAAACTTCTAATGTAAATAGAATTTAAAATAATTGTATTACTTATTTTTACTATTATTATATTTACTATATTGGCTGCAACAAAATCTTTCATAATTTGATTTCGAGTTAGCAACTTCTATTTTTTCCTTATTTTCTTCTTCGTTTCGGATAGGAAAATAGAAGAGTTGAGTGAATAAAAACCAAAAGGAGGTTCATGACCAATGGTAAAGACGTCCGAATAAGGGTTATTTTAGAATGTACCAGTTGTGTTCAAAACAGTGTTAATAAGAAATCAATAGGCATTTCTAGATATATTACTCAAAAGAATCGACACAATAGGCCTAGTCGATTGGAATTGAGAAAGTTCTGTCCCTATTGTTACAAACATACAATTCACGGGGAGATAAAGAAATAGATGGAATCGATCAACTGCGTGTCACTTTTACAAGGAAGATGAAAAATGACATATTAACATATCATATATTAGTATATCATATGTTAATATATATATTTAAATAGAAACAAGAAAAATCCTATTTCTTAATTCTAAATCATTAGCATTTTTGATCCGATGGAAGAAAATAGGATTCTCGAAATAAGGAATAAAATAAATAAGCCATGGATAAATCCAAGCGACTTTTTCTTAAGCCCAAGCGATCTCTTCGTAGGCGTTTGCCCCCGATTGGATCGGGGGATCGAATTGATTATAGAAACATGAGTTTAATTAGTCGATTTATTAGTGAACAAGGAAAAATATTATCTAGACGGGTGAATAGATTGACTTTAAAACAACAACGATTAATTACTATTGCTATAAAACAAGCTCGTATTTTATCTTTATTACCTTTTCTTAATAATGAAAGACAATTTGAAAAAAACGAGTTGGTCGCTAGAACTACGGGTCTTAGAACCAGAAAAAAATAGACTTACTCTTCAATTGAATCAAAATTCCAATCCGAACTCAAACGTAGGTTGATGTTTTGTTCGAGAAAAATCCAGGAATCCAGATTTGATTGTCGTGTCATAAAAAAAACGAATTGGGTAAGGTAAAAAGAATAAATATTTTTTTATTGAATGTTTTTGTTCAGTTTGACTACTTGATCATATTATGATCATATTTTATCATACTTATTTCTATTCTACCTTCCCGGAATTCATTTTCCAAGGAATTCCATGTCAAACATTCCGAAGGATTCCTTCCAATCTCCTTATTTTATCGTGTCATTGGAAATCAGATAAAGGCAATTCCTATTTAATATAGCTAGTTGTGCAAGTATTTTTTTACGATTAAGAAGCAACTGTCTCTTCTGCAGATTGTTTATTAATGTACTATAACTACAGGATGCTGCATTCTCGCGAATTGCTGCATTTATACGAGTGACCCACAAACACCGAAAATTTCTTTTGTGCCTATCTCTATCCCGATAGGCCGAAAACAAAGCTTTTATTTTTTGTTGAATAATAGTTCGAGTAAGTCTTGAATGAGCCCCACGAAAGCTTGATGCGAATAAACGAATTTTTGTTCTACGCCTTCGAGCTATATATCCTCGTCTAATTCTGGTCATTGAATAAACGAAACTTTGATAAATAACTAATTGATTTCCTTTCTTTCAGTTATTCTTTTTCCCTTTTCTAGAATAACAAAACGGATTCTTCCAATGTATAAAATAATAATTCCAACGGCTTTTGCTACTCTAACCTTCCCAACCACGATTTTTTCTTTTTTTTTATAAGCATTTCGCCTTGAAATAAGAAATTTTATTGGTACTAGGTATCAAACAAAAACATAGTAAATAAAAATAAGTAGTAAATAGAAATAGATAAAGAAATAGTGGGTTCCATCGTTTCTATGGTTATTTCTTAAACGGCGAGGTCCTCTCTATACACCGGAGCCCCTTACTTTATTTAATCAATGCTATTGTTAACTTGTACAGTTCACACTTTTTGGCTCTACCCATGAATTCCCCAGTAGTAGGTCTTTCACAACGAGATCTATTTTTACAGTAACGGTATTTAATTATGCGGATTAGCTGATTAGCTGACCTTGTTAGTCCGTTCTTGCAAGAGTAGAGGCATAAATTTTCGGCTTTTTAATAAGATTTGCCCTGCTTAACAGATAATCATTTGCTACCAATGGGGAATTCTTTCGCATTTTCAATTGAAAATTGAGGTAATTGAATTTGCACCAATAGAAACCATAAATTTGATACACAATAGAAGGATATTATAGATCTTTTTTTTTTTTAGTTTTAGATAGTGAAGGGGAGTCTTCCATTCTATCCTATTCATCGGTACTGA